AATATTTAAACTTATTTTAATATTATAACTTCAAAATTCGAATAATTGAGCAAGACCTAGTTCCTATTTCATTACTCTGAAAGTTAATAATTTGGTAAATTGTTCACAAGAAATGTATTCTCTATAAACAACATAATGTTCACCTTATGAGATATTTCGCCTTATTTTAAAAAAAAAAAGCATTTAGTAAAAAGGTGTCGTTAAATTTAAACATACCTACTAACTATTGGACTAATTCGATTTCAACTTGACATTTATTAAATTATTTTGTTATCAAAATGATTGAATAACCATAATGAATATATGAGCACTAATTTAGAAAACCATAACGAATACAATTATATAGAACTGAATACGCTCTTGCAACTAAATAAACTATCTACCTATACTTATGCTTTTTGATTTATGGACATAATGATATTCAAACAAGAATTAAGTTTAAATCAGACAAAATATGTGCTTTTTTTGTTGTTTGAATATTTTTTTTCTTTGAAAACTATTTCAGAATTCGGATATTTAAGTAGGTACTCCACTTTTTTAATATTTATAAAACACTATATAAATGTATCATAACTGAACAGTATATTTATCTGTCACAGTTATAACTTGACTTATTTAAATTTAAAATGTTGATAGTGGTAATATGAAATACACATAATTCTCAGAGGGAAGAGGGAAAAATCGCATTTGCTCCGTAAAATTTTCTCTATTGCGAGTCAAAGTTTTTGTTTTTAAATTGTCAGATTGTGAAAATCTAAATCCAGTTCTCGCGCTACACCATAAATAATTGTTACCCGAGAAATGTTCACAATTTACAAGTCTCGAGTATATCCAAAAAATCCTAAATTTATTGCTGTTTATTTTTTTTTTTTTTTGCACCGCCTCCGCGCAATTCCTCAACCGCTATATTGTGGTGAGGATTGAAAAAAAAAAAGGCAACGGATAAAAACTGAACCTATTCTTTTAAACTGGCGAATCCCTAGCGATAAATCTGATGTGAAAATAAAACAAAAGTCGGATTTCTCGCTTGGCTATTTTGCATAAGACCCGGGGGACTGAGACGCAGGTGTTGAAACCTGACCGTGGCGTGGCTATGAAGTAGTTATATTGTACAGTAAAAGATGCAGTTTTAAGCTTTCATCGAATACAACTACAGCTATAGTATATAATATTTTATGCGAGGTAAATACAAATTGTGTATTTTTTTTTTTTATGAGCGTAGGTATACTGCTTATACTATCGACATCCGTTAAGAACGTTTCTAAAAACTAAATATGTTGCTTTCTAGTAAAAAAAATATTATATATTGAATGGAATAATTATCTTTTATATTGTGTGTATTTTATTTATTTATTCTCAAAAGTCTATCAACTTAAAATCAATATTAGCTGCATGATTACAATTTATATTTCCATTTGAACTTCATCATCAATACTAAAATAATGTGTAAATAACATTTACTTGTATGGTATTATATTTAATAGGCATAAATTATTTCACAAACACGTACGAAAGTATGATATTATTAATCTTAACAAATGTTGATATAAGCGTGTACATGAATATTTTTAGTATAATAACGACGTTAAGTAGGGTGAACGTCTGTCGAGTTTTTTGATAAACGGTTATTTTGCTTTATATATCAGGTTCGTATTTGTAATTCTATATTCTATATTAAAGTAATATAATATAATTTACACTAGGTAAAAAATATTATTATTATTAACCTCACACCATGGTTATACGGTTGTGACGTATTTATATCGGAAAAGTTTACATACATCTGTCTCTAAACTCAATGTATATAATCTCAGAGGGTCGCCATCTCATGACAGCGCATCTTGAAACCTTGTATAAACCGGATGTTGACTGAAAACTCATAGATGAGCACCGCCCACATGACCCCCATAATACCCGCAATGACAATGAAGACGAAACTTTAGATCCAAGTCTCGGTCCATACCCTTTCTCTTAGTTAACAATGGGTCATTTAGAAAGGGAATTTTTTCCCCCGAGCAAGGAATGTTTAAGCGCTTGTTTTTGGAATTAACCCTCGACGTTTCTAAACTTTTGTCGTTTCTCTAAAATTTCCCATTTCACTCGACAACGTACACATCGGAGTGAGCAAAATACGTCGCACACAAACACACACCAGCTCGGTGATATGTTTGTCAGCATTGTAGTCCATGTGTAAAATCCGGTTTAAATAGTCCCAACAGATTTAAACTTTAGCCCGTCAATTAGCGACTTAGCCACCCCCGCTTCTTACTTATAATTTTATTAATTTAAGACGAATTTCGTTGGAATTGTTTAGTATTTTATCACAAAATAAACTAACTTTATTTATATTTTTTTTTTTTCAAACCAAATTATTTTCTCATATTATGTGTTCCCGTAAGGCAGAAATCACTAATTGATATGATTATATGAATGTATTATCATTTTATTCGTGTTTCGTTAGTAGACGGTCGAGTTTAAAATATGACTTTTCATACTTTCAACAAAACTTGTGTTCAAATTTATATTCATCCATTCGAAATGCAAATGTTCATATATTAATTAATAATCAGTGACCATAAACAGTTGCTAATTATATAGATCATTCAAAAACTTTCCATACTCCTTAGATAATTTGTTTTCTGTGTATATAACATATATATGTTATAATATATGCTTTTAAGTCCCGCAACTATAGTTTGATGGTCGACCGTATTACGCTTGTTTAAATTCAAAAACAGTGATAGATCATCGCGGATTCGAAGAGCAAATGTACTATGCCCAGTTTGACCAATATTTACTTCTATTTTATCAATTTTCTGTAATAATTAATTTGTGTTCTAATACAACCCATGAAACTTCTTAAACATTTTTATTACATAATTTCCGGACAGTATAATGTATAATACATCATTTTAAAACCAATACTGATCTTACACTTCATTAAGAATCAAAATCAAAATAAATGCCTATTGTTAAACTAATGTGACATTAGATGTCAAAATATGAAAATGTATATTTAATTTATTTTTGTTATATTTTTTTATTTCCATATGTATAAAGACATGTTTTAAAAATGCCGTGGTCAAACGCCTACACACACTGTACCCCAATTGTTACTATTTTCATACCCTCGTGGGGTGGGGTCATATTCATTAACGGATTTCTTTTTTTTTTTTACACCCCTTGTTCGACGGTATAATTTTTCACGCCGAAATCACCGGTGTCGGCGAACAATACGTAAACAACGGTTGTCGGACAACGAAAAACCGCACAAAATACCCGATTTCCCTAGCGAGGTAGGTTATATATATTATACAGTATATAGCTGTATATTTTTTTCCCCTTCTTTTCTCATTTTCCGCCCGTAAGACCCCTAGGCGAAAGGCAATCTTTCATTTTATGCGCACGGGTCAGTCCTACAGGGTTTTTGTTGCTTTGTCGGACGCGCACGTTGGTTTCCATCTCTAATGAAGGTCGTGTACCCGAAAAAGGCTCCGATATATTATTTTGTACCTGCAACAGTGTTCTTAACCACCGCCTCCACCATCAGCATAATGTTCGCTCACTACCTGTACATTATGCGGCTCCCGTTGACTATGCCTATTTTTTATTACATAATATGGTAGGGTTAAGGTCTCTCTATGGGTTGGGACGTTTGGGTACATGTGGTTAAACTAATTTTATAATTCTATAGTGTTTTAAATTCTGAGCGAGACAAAAAATGTGTCTATATTTTAAGTTAAGATGAGTTGTTTGAAATGGCGATAACGGGTATTCAAAAAGAGTCGTGGTCTACTAAATCGCTCGTTAATACGAATTTAAAAAAAACAACTCTGTTTATTGTGAAATTAATAATATTCGTTCATAAAATTTGTCATCGCGAGCATTGTACTTAATATCACAGTGGTTGATTACACCGGCTTGAAAAAATTATTTGACACATGCACTGCAGTAGACATTGTTGAGCCCATGTTATCCTGGTTCGCATGATTGCATCATACATCTATAGACTCTCTCAATTTATGATTCTATATCAAAAGAAATCGAAGTAACTTCAGAAATACCTCAAGATAGTTCTCCCCCCCTGTTGAAAGTGGTTTATTGAAAGTGTTTAAAAATATTAGGAATGATAAATTTTATCTGTAACGTGTTTAAACATGCCGGATGTTAAAAAGTGCTATATTGCGCCAAAGCCCGCCCAATACTATAGTTTGGATCCACAATTTGGAATCCTAATCAAGTAGGTTAAGTAAACCAACTAGACAAAATCCAGGCGATTTTTATTTTCTACATAATTTAGATTAAATGAAAAACCTATCTATCGAAGATGTATCAAGAAAATTAGGTTTAGAATCTCTAAAATCTCAAGGCGTTTTTATACCTAACGATGTAGCCATTAATCCATACATTAACAAGGTGAGGCTAAAATAGATTATGATGAGTTTCTTAGGCTAGTAAAATTAATAGTTCCTATAATATCATAACGAGATCAATCGTCTCTATCAAAAAGTGTCGATGAATAAAAATAATTACACTGCGAATAATCCATTATGTCCCCTCCTCTCCTCCACTAATAAAATATTACCTATATAGATTAAGATTTCTTTATTGGCTATACACTTGTTGAAAGTTTACTTGAATAATTTGAATAATTGTTTAGCTTAACTTTAATGTTATGCTGTAATGCTGCATAGCACGTTGGATACATTTTTATCAGTATATAATATAAACATGACCCTTTGGGATTTTATTTGTGCTATTTAAATAAATATGCAAAAAAACAAAGACAATTTAATAATAATAATATCAAATTATGTAATCGCGTCTCACTATATGCGTCTTATATTAATTGACAACATATAGGTATTTATTATATTTATAGTTTATACATAATACTTTATAGCTATATACTATATAGGTAGGTACACCAAGTATGAACATAACTATATTATAAATGCGCCAGATTAGGTATATGTTTTTTCTCGCATTGCCCTGTCGCGATGATGATTGAGACGCGACCAGTCGCCCGGCGGATCAGCTCAATTTGCGAAAGCGGTTGGTGTCCGGGACGTTAACAGCGCGCGGAAAAAAAGAGACAGAAATGCCGGAGAAAAGACAAAAAAATAAAATAATAAATAAAATACAATTTTTCGTTTCACGGCGGAGCTCGCCGTAATCCGTGCTCTGAATTCCGATTGTGTGAAGTCGTGAAAGCTTCTAATTATAAAGTAATCATTTATAATATTTATACAATAGCGGCGTCTATAAACAACAGTAAATTATATGTACTATGTAGCTCTTTAAGTTTGGACCGTATTTGAATTTATTACTATTTTTTTTCGGTAGGTTCATCGACAATTTATTGCAAATCGAAAAGTATATCGTAAGATAAGATGCAATCATTTTAACTTAACATAAACTCTTCTTTTTTATTGTTGAAATGTAATAATTTTTGTTAATAATTCTTTTAAAAAAAAAATAAACCCTTCTCCCACGAGAAACGGTATGATACCGGTACCAACCTATGTTTTTTTTTAATTATTTTACTATTTAAAAAAAATCTGTGCCTACGTCGCACAGAGACCATGTTTTGTTGTTTGATATTATATTATTCTCGTTGCGCTCGAAAATGCCATAGCGGTGTGTATTGTAATATTAAATCCGAAAGCAATTATGATTCCATCGTAATTACCTCTTTAGAGTACCAATTATATTCGATCTCCAATCGGCTACCTACTTGAAATTTTTAACCCGGTTAACTATTCTGAGAAGTGTACATATATACTAGACACAAACCACTAATAATAATTGTTAAACCAATACATTCCTTGCTTTTTAACTCAGAATCTAATTATTTTAGACATATAGTTTACTGAAAGTATCGGTACAGTACAATAATAATTCAAACATTTCCAATCAAAATCCAGCTTTATAGACTATAATATTATGACATAATGTTATACGTTTCATTTAACTTTGCATCTTTAGATATTACCTGCAGTAATGGTGCCTCATTATCTTGCTTCGTTACATCATCTAACATCGTTAATAAATTATAATATATCAATTTTATTCATCATAAATATTTGTACCGGTTATATTAATAAATGTGTATTGATTATTGGTTTGAAAAGACTATAGTCTACTGTTAACGCTGTTTATAATTAGTCAATCTAACATTTAAATGTTATTTGAACATTAAAATATTAAGTGAAGTATTGGAAAACTTGGTTCCTTCTCCGGTCCTCGATATCACGAAAAAAATTTAAAAAAAAACATTAAAATACAATTTGATTTCACTTTTTAGAACTCTTATGTACCTAGTGAACACAAGTATAGATAGGTACCTCGAATACATTGCAGAATAATAAATATTATTATTGGAAAATAATAATTGCAACAAAATATTAAAATATTTTGAACCTGGCGAATGGTAGATGAAATATAAATTATCTAAGTGAACTACCTATTGTATGTCGACTGTATTATATAACAGTGATTCATTTTCCATGTATAATTATAGAGTATATTTTATTTACAAATCTATCTTTAATTGGTTCAAATGTTTGAAAATGTTTTCGAATAATATTTTTATTTTATTTCCCAATAGTACATACACAATAAGCGTATAAGATAAAAGGCTATACATAGCATGAATTACTGTCTTGAGTAAGAAGCCACCCATTAGTGACGATTATATTTTTGACATTTTATGTTTTTGCTTTGGCACATTGAATCAAAAAACGTTACGTTACGTTACGCTTTGTCTATCACCATAGTAACGAATAAAAAATTATAATGTATAATATAATATAATATAATATAATTATATTGTATACCAATTATAGCAATCGTGTCTTTATTTTTTATCAGTTACCCTATAAATATTACCTAGGTATGTGCTACATATGATAGCAAGGACAACAAAGACATAAATGTGGTACTTCATTGCAGACTCGTATGCAATATGTTTCACTCTTTATCATGATTATTCGAATAATATTAAAATATTTTCCTACTAATCCTGAATTAAAGCCATATGTATATGCATAAGGTCTACAAATGATCTGTAGGTATAACATTTAAATACAATTTCTATGTGAAAATGTTTTATTCACCCATAGATTTTACAACACAATAGGTATCACATTTGTTTATATTCAATACAATTATACGCCTATCTACTTCAATATTGAATTGGTATTCTGATATGCATTTTCAATTGAAGTTTAAATAATACAATTCAATATAGATACGTCATATCATTATGATGTATAGAATATAATAAATTATTTAATCATGATGTGAAATGTTTTTAATTGAAAACAGCCAAATATTTTTATATATATATTATATATCATATATGTATAATGTATATATATATTATTATTCCTCAAATTATATAAAAAGGGTTATGGTCATAACAAAATGATTCACATAATCTAAAAAATAACTTGCTACAGCAACAATTTTACAATAAATATTTATTGAGGGCCAAAGAAAATGTCATAATTTGCATAATATTTAGTCGTAAAATAAACTTTAAAAAGATGGGTAGGTGAGTTTTTGTTCGATTTTATACATATTTTTTTGTTCTTGTTTGTTTTTATTGTGCTTGCTTGAACTAATTTAGCGATATACCTACGCATGGGTGTACACATATTGCCAGCACAGAGCGCCGTGTTTGTCTGTGCGTAATACAAAAGTATATTATAGTATTATTATTATTATTATTATTATTATTATACAACGATGATAATAATATTATTATTATGGTCGTAAATTTGAATATTATATTATTTGATATGGGAACACTTTGTTCTTTTAATAACCTCCGTCGTGTTCCAGATAGTTGCACGTGAAAAAAATAATATGCAAGCTATGATGGGTTTTTTTTTTCTTTGTCTTTTCCTCGTTTGTTATGCATTATACCGGAGATGAAATTATCTAAAATTCTAAATCACGCAAAAAAAGGTCACTGCGCACAGTATATTATAGGTAGGTAGTATAACATTTTTATTTTATCTTATTTTCTTGTATCCGAATTTCGGAAATAATTCACTGTCCGCGACGATGAATTTATCTCTAATAGTGTTATTTATGTATTTTTCAAAGTGCCCACAAGACTGTTCGCGTTGAATGATATTTGTTATAATAATAAACCATCGCGAATGTCACATAATATATAAAAATTATAATGGGTTATGTAAATTATTGTACGTTGCGTAAAGTTTGGATGCGTAACGCTTATGATATCACATAATATACTACCTACAGGTACAGCCATATTATCGCATACGTCTGATATGTGTGAATAAATATCATATTTTATTGACTTTTCAGTGATTATCTTGTTTTAATTTAATATGAATATATTATTTTCGTAAACGGTATGTACTCTGCTTGTAAAATCTAGATTAGAAAATTATTAATTAAATACTGACAGTTAATAAATGTAAAGTAAAACATCATAAATAACCTAAGGAAACAAATCGTATTCCTTACTTAATCTTAACACAAGAGTGAAGTGTGGGAAATTTGAACTCTACAATATTATCGATTTTAATTTATACGTTTATACTTTTATTTAGTACATAATAATGTTGTATTATGTAACTCGACAATAATGAATACATTTAAACTCACAGAATGAGATTCAATAATAATATGATTTATAATTTATAATTCTATACATATAAACATGGTATACAAATTTGAAGGAAAATTTAATAAGTTTACTTAGCTATAGTTTACTATTTGGAATTAAATATATGTATAACCTAATGTAGGTACTGTAATAATATCTACAAAACAAAATACTAAAATAAAATAACAAGTTTAAATTGATACACATTTTTTTACTCGTAAAAATAATAATTATATATAGGTGATAATAATGAAAACGCTTACAAAATATTATCTGAAATAAGAACAAAATAATAACCTTAATATGTATAGACTAAATAGACTGTCTTTAAATACGTTTAATTATTGACATAATTAAAATATGGTTATTTATTTACATTATATTATTAATGGAGCAGCGCAACATTTTCCGCGACTTCATAATATAATATTATTATGACCCATTTTTAGGTTTTGTATAAAACTGTGTAATATGGGTTAAGTGATCGCGTATGTATCGTACACCTATCGAGGATCTCTTCTACTACATACGAGGTTTTCAAGTAATTTTCAATATAATATCCTGCGTTCTTTCGTCACTTTATAAGTGTGTCGGAAAGAAAACACAATTTTAAATTAATTTTTAAAAAAGCAGCTGTGTCAAATCATATTTGTCACATTTCTTTTTGTTACCTTGCGTGGATGTTTAATCTAAAAAATCGTTTTCATTGAAGTATTTTCCAAAGCTTTGACAATCTGCACTATTAATGGAGTATTTCATATTTGTGTTCATCTATTTTATCAATGTTATTATATATCCATAATTAATTTAATTAGAAATGTTTACCCATTTACAAGCGTTATTCATAAATTCCAACCGGAACATTTATCTAAACATAATCCCATGATAATGATTTAGGCTGTATTGTATTTTTTAGCTCTAAAAAGAATAAATATAAATAATTTTTTCTTGTTTAAAATATTTATGATTCTCTATTATAATAATATTATACATTCATAAGTATTAGTTTCATATTTTTACTAACTTTTAAAGTTAATTAACCTTTTTCTATTAAAACCATAAGATAAAATATTTTAATAGTGTGAAATGTATTGAAATAAAATTAATTGACTACCCCATTTTATATTATATTCAATATCTATAATTTATTTTATAGTCTGGATATTTATTTATTTTTAACGTCCATGTAGTTTCAACGTGAATATAAAAACAAATTCACTTTAATTAGAACTAACTATACCTACAGTTTTGTTAGGGTTTATAGATGTTTAAAATTAAAATGGAAATTTTACCAAACGAATATCATTTAAATAATAAATGATAAGATTCTAGGCAAATATAATACTGTACCTATACAAAGGTGTTCCACTGTACACATTTCACTTACCGGTTCTGATAAAAAAAAAACATTTATCTCATAAAATATAATTATAAAATTGTATTCACATCGTAGGTACTAGTTTTGTTTGTATGATTTATATGTTAAGAGTAAAATAAATTAATTTTTTTTTCAGCATTTTGCCTCAGACTCACGGAGTTGAAAATCGAGGAACATACTCTCGTGGGAAACAGCACAAGACTAGAGTGCAAATATGACCTACAGGGTGAAAAATTGTACACGGTAAAATGGTACAAAGACGGGAACGAGTTTTATAGATTCCTGCCCGGGGAATCTCCAGAAGTACAAGTGTTTGATGTTACGGGAGTGCACGTTGATGTAAGTACATTAATTTTATAATACACCCATATTTTTATTTTCGTTTCTGTTTTTTTTTTTCATCCCTGAAGAATATTGCAGTGAATATTCCTGGTGCGACGTAAAATATTCCCACCGTGTTTCGAATACATATTATGCTCGTATGAATGCGTGTATTTAATCTCGGCATACAAAGAATTGCGATGCGTTAGTTTTTAACCTGCAACATTCACTATTAAATATTTTAGCGTATGTACGTCATATATTTACTCCATAAACGTAAACAACATTTAAGAAAAAAAATAATCCCGATATTGCATTGAATTTACGAGGCATCCTTGCATTTAATACTGTTAGGTATTAATAATGCAACAGCTGAATGTGTATAAGAAAATGCCAAAACGTTGGTAATAATAATACGCGTGTACGATATGATTGCGTTGTTTGTAATAGAACCAGAAGAAAACACGCAGGACGAGGTAATTTTGAAATCGAAATCATTTAAATTCTAATGAAAAATGTTGTCAATACAACTTTTGCAGTCGGAGTTTGTACAGAACTTTTGTCGAAGCTGGCTTAATGCGTTCGGCTCCGGGTATCGGTCTCTAATGTCGCACGTAATAGATTCGACTGCCGTGTTACCGACCGCCGCCGAGCTCCCAAACCTAAAACCCAATAGTTCTACAACTTACAGTAACAAATTCGAATTCCATAATTACCCCATAAAGCATACAAATGACCTTAGCTGCCGGGGCGTTGGTAAATGTTGGATAACAAAAAAAAAAAAAACCATTTCTCTACCTACAGATTACAACATAATAACAACTGTATTAAACTATAGTAAAATGCTATTCGTTCTTTTTTTTTCTCATATCGTGCAGTGTCTACATTTATATAGTTTTAATCCCAAATGAACTGACAAAAAAGTTGTTAACAGCAAAATATGTGTTGACCGAAAAAGAAAATTACAAAACTCAAATAATATTATAATCATATGATTTATTTCGTTTATATCAGGCAATGAATGACATTTTTTTATTTATTTCAAGCACAGTTTTGAAATTCGTTACATTTACATTCCACTCGTTACAGTTTCAGTCGCCCATTATTAAAGTTATTCATTTGATTAAACATATTTTTACTGTGGTTGAGTTCATCTTTACCTTCCGTAATTGTGTTTTGTTTTTATAATTCACGATTCTCTTCATAAAAACAAGAGTACACCAAATCTGTCCTGTCTACTCTATTATAACAAATATAAGTCTTAAATTAAAACCGCAATACTTAAACACTGATTGTCCTGAAGCAAACAAACGAAATGAAAAAAAGAAAGTGGAATTGAACTGCACAAGTATATAGTTTACAATCAGTGTTGACATACTTTGTTCAAAGATTTTGTTCTTGTCGAGAAAATAAAGTATTTATTTTTTTTTCCGTCAAAGAGGAACAAACCAAACATATCATTATATAGGTCAATTGTTTTATTATCTAGTCTAGATTGTAAACTCTTCAATGAATCGAAGCATATTTAAATACAATGTATATCAGTTCAATCTATAGTGCCTCAGAAGAAACTGAAAATTTACTATTCTTCGACATAATGTTGAGGGTTTAGTTAACATCCGAGTGACTAAGAATTGATTATAAACTATTTAGAAAAATAACATTTAACGAAATCTCATCAAATAAATTAAAATAAATATAGGTTAAGCCCACCATATACTTAATACCTAGGTATAAGTACGTCATACACGAGTCAGACTTATCGTTTCATGTAAAAAATTGATAATTTAAAAATCATCTAAAAGCTGACGTGAAAAATTGTTATAGTTAATCATGAAAAGTGCTTTTTTGCTCTAACTTATACATGATTGTATACTACAGTTTAAGTATAAGTATATGTTCGGCACATATTATTATATTCCATCCAAAAAGTAAAAAAATTCTCAATTATGTTTAGTGTTTATACTTTATACCTCTATCTTGAAAAATTATACGAATTCAATATATGTGTGTATTTACGGAGTAACTCCTCGCCGGATGATGGCATACATAATATATATAACAATACAATTTCTAAGTACCAGAAATATCTAACAAAACTTGTTTCTTTCTATCCTACTGTCTATTTTTAATGTCAGTTATTCGTTTTTTATCATGTAATTATAAAATACCTAAAATATGACAATTGTGTATGGGAATTTAATACGATGACTTTCGTCCCATTTAATTCCAATTATGTCGAGCAAAAAAAAAATTGAATAGGAACTATTTTTATGCAATAGACAGACAAAAGTAACTTGTCAAAAATAAAATTTTAAATCAACATGAATTATTAAAAAGGTGGGCAAGTGGGTGTCGCTCTGCTGTACAGTAGGTTACAAGTGGGTCACTGTATAATGGATGGTACTAAATTTGAATTCAATGATATAATATCATTGTATAAGAAAAACGATTCTGAGCGGTGACGGTATGTCAGTCTATGTATAAGACATATTATATACATATCTATAGTATTAAACAAAAAATTGACCTCTAATAGGTACCTATAATAAATTCCAAATTAATCATATCACAATATCCATTAGATACTTATAACACGTTATACATCAACAAAAACCGTGATACTATCATAGATATATAATAGTATACTTTAGAAGTTTCAAGTACCCACGAATAATATTATTCAATCACAACAAAATAACTAAAATAGTTATTCTAGGTTTTTTAATATGTAATTTCGTCCAAATTTGAATTTAAAATGTCTGTAAAAAATAAGTGTGTTCATATATTTTTTAGATTTTTTGGTTACAGTATGAACTATTTACGAGAACCTTTGTGTTGAATTTGCAATCCTTAGCTATAAAAACTGAACATTTTATAATTTATTATTTACAATGATTGATAATTTTCGAGATTTTGATAAATTTTGTCAAAATTTGATCTTTAAATGCTTATAAAAAAAAACTGTGCCTATGTATTTTTAATATTTTTCAACTGCTATTGTAACAATATATCAGGAGCCTTGTATTAAATTTTTACACTTTTTGGCCCAACAGATAAAACTTTATTGATATTTATAGAAAAAAAAACTAAAAAAAAATGAAAGCTGTAAATGTCCATAAACAGCTCAAAAAGAGTCAAAATATTTTCAAAATTGTATGGTGTATAGAAAATGCTAATTTAAACATTCAGTGAAATTTTCATGTATCTAAAGTTTTTCGTTTTTGAATTAAACAGTTCAAAATAAATCAAAATATTTTGAAAATTTTATCGTGTATATAAAATGCAAATATAAACAACCAGTAGAAATTTCATGTATATACGTTCATTTCTTTTAGAGTCAAAATCGATTTTGCGTAAAAATTCCCGTTTTTCCTTAATTTTTATGTTGTTTTTCCCGGCGCTTGTGAAAACTACTGGAAAATGTTTACTTTTGACCCCCCAAAGTACCAACTAGATTCACTTTCCTATCAGAAAAGGTACTATTGAAGAAAATCGAAGCACTTTTACTGTCCCAAAACGTGATGACAGACACAAAAAAAAATATAAAAACACACATCATTGTAAAACCAATACATTCATGGCTCCGCTCAAAATCTAAAAATTCCCACAGTAAGATGTATAAAAGGGATGAAAACTAACGTACGGTGCGTGTCTGGAAGATATGAGTATATGACACGTTCGAATGTATGACTGCAGTGTAATATTATTGTTAAATTCTCAAAATATACCCTTTACCTATTATATACATATAATTTAATATATTAAATTACGTATTCAATATGCATATATTAGGTATAATACAATAATTAATAGATTTCGGCGTGGTATGTTTATCGGGTCAAAGAATATTCTAGTAGTGCCGTATAATTAATATGGATTCGTCTCGAGTTTCCTCTGAATCCGATCGGATTCACGAACAAGCGATTACATATTATTATTATTATTATTATAACTCGGTGGTAGTGTTACGTCGTCGTCGTCGTCAAAAAAAATTACAAAAATCAAATTATCACCGCGATCGCGTAACTATATTATATAGATGTACAAAAGCGCGGTATTGGCTTCGGGAGTGAAACCCGAAGCGACCGAAGGAAAAAATGCAATTTTTTTTTTAGATTCCCCGGACCGGGAGCGCGTGCTGCCGTCGACCGATGGCCGAGTTATGCCAAGGGGTGGGGGCAAAAAAAATACACCCTTGGCGGCCGGGCGTCAATTAGTCTCGGGCCGCGCCAGGTGTTGTTGTCAGATTTGTGCTCGGAATGATGGAACGCGAACGTTTTGGCCCGGAAAATTAATGCCCGTTTTGTACAGCGTGCGCAAAAACGTTCCCGCAAAACATACAATTTTCGGAGACCCCGCGGCCGCGTGTGCCCACCCACCCATTTTTTTTTCCACCACTCTGTATATAAATATATTATATACGGCATTTCGTCGTCGTTCGGGCTTTCTCTTATATACAACCCAACCGCGCCCGATGGTAATCTGCAGACCCTCGTTTTATTCTTCGAGCGGCGCAATAATTTATTATTATATTATATACGAACTTACGTGTTTGTACACGCCGCCGTCGATAAGTGCAATACGTGTGGCTTATAAAAATATCGAAATTCTGTGGTAAAATGAGGTTAAAAGGCTCGTAGTGCAAAGACGACGAGTATTATGCTTACGTTATTGGCAGTGTACCCAAACGGGTAAGGGAAGGGTAAACGCTCGACGAAAAGACTTTAAAATGTTGAAAACATTAGCCAGTGTTTTGATTTATCCAGGTGCATTTTGCGTATAGGCTTTAGCGATTACCTATATAGGTACCAAAAATACACGAAATGAAAATAAACTTTTCAAAGTCACATTTTTATTTTTTATTCACTTGATAGTTTCGTGGAATCGGTGGCTTATCAGCATATTACAATTGTGGTAAAAATAAACGTTATCAGTTTTCATATAGTAATAAATTATTGTTACTGTATAATGAATCATATTTTTTTGTTTTCATAATGGTACCTATTTAATGGATT